ATACTGATCTCGTTTATCAATATTGTATGAAACACTACTATAAATTATTTGATCCGCCATCATGACATCATACAAAATGAAGAATAATATTATTTTCCACTGCAGGGAAATAAGCCGGTAGATCTCCTGCTGTATGAGGGTCAGGGACACGGAAATTGTGATTAAACCCCAAATCGCATAATTTTACATCATTTATATTATATCAATGCCACATGTATTCATTATCAGCTTGATTCAGCCTGTATATTTAACTATTTTAAAACTGATTAATAGTAGTCAAAATGTGAAATAAATTATTTTTTAGTATATACAGTCAGACCTCTCATAAGTGCACCCTCTATAAGTGCACACCCTCTCTAAATGCACACTCAATTCTGGCCCAAATATATACTTGATCTCTATAAATGCACTTTTTCCTATTATTCTCTAAGTGCACGTTGCTAAAGTGTGGTTCCGAATGCGTGCACTTAGAGAGGTTTGACTGTAGTATCTATAAATAAAAGGCATTTTTATTGGTTTTATATCTCCTATTGATCACATGAAATAATTAGCTATTGGGTGACACAAAAATTCAAATTATTACTAATCATGTAACACGGCCTGAATTATAATTTAATTTCTTAATGCTGGCCAAAATCCAAATTTTTATAATATCTGTATTAATTTTTGCAATTTGATATTCATATCCCTAACCCAAAGTTTATGATGACATGTGATTACAGATTACAAAATACATAAATCTGCAAGTCTCTTGTATGGTGTAGGTCTGATAATTAGAAGGTTTATTTTATTTTTCATAATTTTTTTCTATTTGTATACCCCAGGTCTTTTACATTTTGCCAAAACTTTATCCTATATTGTAAACCCAAATATTTTGTTTGAAAATTTTAATAATCTTTCCAAACAAAAAAAAATAAGTTTGAAGTATTGAATCAAGCTTTAAACCTATTCAAAAAATGGTGGATGGCATTAAAGATTTCAAACAAGCCAAAACTTGAAGTGATTATAAAAATAACATAGTGATACAAACGGCTTGAGCTGAGCTGTGAGCCGAACGGCTAAGCCGAGCTGATTAACAGCTCAGCTCTAGGTTTACTAATAAAGCATTGGCTCCAGAAATGGCTCGGCTCTAAACCTTGAAGCTGAATATGAAGTCGTGAGCTGATAGATTTATATCACATGACTATTATCTAATAGTAAACACTTGCTGTGATTATATACAATTATTTAATATTATTGAATACTATTTAAATAAATAATAATAACAGAATTAAAGCTTTTGATATTTATATGCGATAATATAATTTATATCAAAACAAGTTTATTAAATAAAAATTATAGTTATTAAATATGTAATTATTGCATCTGATTAAAAATACTTATTTTAAATCAAATTACTTATTACTGACGCAAATATGATTTTTTTAATATTTTTTATTTATTCTCAAGTAACATTAATCTTATATTAATCTTATCGATAAATAATCATCCATCACTATTTTGCACAATTACTTTTAAAACATATAAATAATAACCATTACATATTGAATTATAGTTTTATTTTATTATAAAAAAAACAAAATATTGAAAATTCTACTTAACAAATATTTCATCAAATCAGATACATCTAGCTAGTTTGCTAAAAATCTATTGGCATTTAACTTTATATAATATGGCATCTTATATTCACGATCATCCTCTTATATTCATGATTATCCTATTATTAATCTATTGTTACATAATATGATATGCACTTTCCTTTTTTTTTTTTGAACTATTCAACAAAGTTATCTAAAATATACTAGCAGTTTGGGCATCAAATTCAAAAATAGAATGATAAGCTGACAATTAAGCCAGTTTAACCATGGTTTTAAAACTCTACTAAGGCTTTGAAGCTTTAACCATAGCTTTGGAGCCAAGCCATTTTGATTGGCTTGAGAAGTTGTTAGCTAATTCATTTTTATATCAATAACACAATTTAAATGAGAACAAGTAATAAAAAAAATTAGATATTTTTTCAAAAAAAATAAAAAAAAAGTAAAACAAAATCTCACGCATAGCCTCAAGATCCAATTCTAAGCACCGAAATTTCTCAGCATAGATTTTGTTTGACTTACTATTTGTAAATATAAAAGAGCTTGAAAATTTACTTGCCCAATTTTATATTTCATATTTGAACAAAATTTACTTGCCCAATTTCATATTTGATATAAAAATTTTATACTCACAATTGTTGCAATGGATATCAATACTGATGATCTTTATGAAGCTGAAGTTCGTAATACTTCTGCTTCTGATTCTCAAGACGTTTTGCAAGTTTCTGATGACAATGACAATATGGCCACAAGCACCGCTACTGCGAGTAATAGAAATATTGTATCTCCTTTTACTTCTGTTACTTTTACAAAAAAAGCCAAATCTAGATCACCTGTTTCACCATATTTTTCACAAAGGACTATTGACAATATGTCAGTACTTTGCAGCTTTTGTAAGAATAAGTTTAGTATAAATATAGCAACTGGTACCTTACATAAACACCTTGACTCTCAGCACCCAGGCTAGAATACGACTAAGCCAGCATTAGTCAACAGCTTTTTACTTTTACACCTGAAATAACAATTTCAAGCCAAAGTTTAATACCAGCTCAAAAAACTAAACTTCATATGTTAATTGCTGAATGGATTGTTTCAAACATGTTATCTTTTTCTATTATTTCAAGCAGATCATTTGCCACTATGCTTCAATATCTTAATGCTAAAGTTGACTTACTTTCTCGCAAGACTATGAAGTCTATTATTCAAAGTGCCTTCGTCATAATACAAAAGGATGTTAAAACTCTTTTGGAACAAGCTCCTAGTAAAATCTCTGTTATATTAGATATTTGAACCTCTTGTGCTAATGTGCCCTTTCTTTGCATAACAGCACATTGAATAGATAATAAGTGGAACCTCCGAAAAATCTTACTCGATATCTGCATGCTTCCTCATCCCCATACTGGTGAAGAGATTGATACATATTTGCATTTTGTTTTTGCAGCTTTTAAGATTACTGATAAAATTTTTTGTGCTACTACTGATGGTAGTTCTAATATGATCTTGGCAATGCAATTGTTAAAAAGTAATCTTGTTTTACACAATTAGCTTTTTCACTTTCAATCTCGTCACTGTTCAGCTCATATACTAAATCTCATCATTACAAATAGTTTGTTACTTTTTTTTTTTTTTTTTAATATTAAGGTGACCACTTAGGTCCCTCGGCACTTAGCTTTATTCAGATAATTATGATATTATATCAATTTCACAAGGATACAACTAGCCACACATGTACTTTTGGTACCTAATTTAAGTAGTCTGCCTGGGTTCTATAC